CCTCTCCTTCTCTCCCTCCCAGATCCAGTGGAGCAAGGTCGCCATGGACCTTCCTTACTCCGCGTCTTGTCATGTGCTGCTGCCCAGGACGCCATGGACCTCCCGTTGCCTCTCCTAGCTCATCAAGCTTCTTCTACCCCGAGATTTGATTGACTTGGTACGGTCTCTGTTTTCCCCTCTCCATGTCCAGCGCTTCACCATTGATTTCGTTTTGAGCTCACCAACCATTGATTTCCTTCGTGTGCAGCAGCAACAACAGGATTCCATGCCCATGGGTACCTATAGCAGCACAGAGAGGGCCAACAACAGCAGCACAGAGTTTGTGCTCTATCTGTATGCAAGCGGGAGGGAGAAATGCACTACGTTGTAATGAGATTGCAACTAATTTACTCATCATTAGTTAAAGGAGTGAGGGAAGACCAGCTAGTACTTACGGAGGCACCCCTCACATAGGCCATTGATTTGCATCCGATGACGAAGAGCTTGCTGTCCTTGTCCGAGAACCAGTAGGGCAACTGTGTCATGTTCACCCACGCACGACTGTATGAAGTGTTGCCGTTGGCCGGGTTGTAGCACCCGGTGCTGATCAGAAACCTGACCCGGACTCTGCTCTCCTCTACGGAAATCCCCATCACCGGGAGGGTTCGGCCGACGGTCCTGTTGCCATCTGCGGTCAAGTTGCAGCCGAGTGCGAAGCCGCTATGGATGGCGCAAGGCTCCCTGATGCCGAACTGGTACGGGATGTCCATGTCCCTGCACCTCGTCTGGCAGTCTGTTGCGCCCTAGCCACCCTTGGTGCAGCTCATTTTGGCCCATCGTCCGCCGCCACCAACAGGGCAAGGCAGAGCAGAAGAAAAGGTGGCCGGAGACCAACTAGAAGATGCGTGCAGTTGGCCATCGACACCTTCAACAACACCAGCGACATGGGTACACTCTGTGTTTTCCTCTGTTATGTAATGCGTCTCACCATTGATTTCGACTTGGGCTCACCAACCATTGGTTTCCTTCTTGTGCAGCAGCAGCAGTAGGATTCCATGAAGTAATAAGGCTGTACATGATTGATGTGGACCGAAGAAATTTGGATCTGAAAATAAGAAACGAAATGGCTGGGCGTGGGATGGAATGATTTTTGATCTCCGAAGTGCCCTGCCCTGTGTATAACTGCAGCATCCTTTTGGCACAAGTATTTGATCCCTCTATACTTGTGCCGCGTGCAGTGTCGAGTAGCTAACCGTGAGCACCACGACGACTGCTCTTCGCCAGCACCAGCAGCGCCATGGGCAGTGAAGGTCAGCAGTTGACCATGGCCAGCCATCTCGGGCGAACTCACGCCCCTGCACCACCACGTCAGCAGCTTCAATCAAGATTTTTAATTTAAAAGACCGAGTCATGCTCATGGGAATTTTCGCAACATCGCAGCTTCCATAAGAATGTTCTAAAGGTTCCCCATGGGTACTAGATACCGCATCAGCTACAAATACCTCCACACTGATAAGCATATTTCTCTGGTATTGTTTACGAATTACCGCCTCAGTCATGCATAGGACCAATATCTCCTAAAAGTAATGATTTTTATTTCCTTGCGATAAATGTAGCTTTTTGTGAGGTATTAATTGGTGTGCTCCATGCTTTTGCTGGAATCATTCTCAGTTTAGTAATATGCTTTCAACTTTTTGCCAATCGAGAGATATCTCTTTGGTGTCAAGAGTGTAGTTATATTGGAGAGCAATCTTGCCTGGCCTGATATTATTCTGTTATAGAATTAGTAGAACTTGAAACACCAATAGTAATGCTTTGAGCTTTGTAGGTTGATGTTTTCTCTGAATTAAATCTACCTGTCAATCTCTTATGCATAGGACTAAATCTTTACCGCCCCAGTCATATGCATAGGACTAAGATATCCTAAAAAGTGCCAATTAATGATTTTTTATTTCCTTGCGATAGCTCGGGCTTTCTGTGAAGTATGGGTGCATTTCATGCCAGGCACCACCCAATCAGCATACGTCCTTATCGGCACTCCCCAGAAATGAAGGATGGTATTGAAAAGCAAGTGGAGGAACTATTGGCATCCTAAATCATTCAACACTCCACTAGTCCATTTTGCTTCTCCTGCCATTTTGCTGCGCAAGAAGGATGGCCATTGGTGTCTTTGCATCGATTACCGCCGGCTCAATGCGCTGACAATGACACCCAAGTTTCCATTGCCGGTCATCGATGAGTTGATTGATGAATTGTCAGGAGCAAGCTAGTTCTCAAAATTGGATCTTCGCGCTAGGTACCATCAAATCCGTCTAGCGGAGGGGGAAGAATATAATACGGCATTTCAAACCCACTCTGGCTTACGAGTTCAAGGTGCTTACTTTTGGAGTTGCGAGTGGCCCAGCCACGTTCCAAGGTGCCATGAATCATACTTTGAAACCAGTTGCGCGAGTATGTGCTCTTGTGTTCTTTGGCGACATTTCAATGTTCTCTAAGTCATTTTTTGACCACATCCAAGACCTCACTCAAGTGTTGCAACTATTGCGAGCTAACCAATGGAAAACTATAATGTCCAAATGTTCATTTGCACAGTGGGAATTATCCTACTTGGGCTTTGTCATCAGCGAGCAAGGGATTTCAACTAAACCAAAAAAGATTTTGCGCGTCCAACAATGGCCACTGCCACACTTAGTTAAGAAACTTTGGCAGTTCTTAGGTCTTTCTGCATACTATCGCAAATTGTTCGACATTATGGCATCATTGCTAAACCATTGACCCAATTGCTTAAGAAGAACGCTCCTTTTGTGTGGACTAGGGAGTGCACAACAGCGTTTGAGGCTTTCAAGCAGGCATTGGTTACAACCCCCATCCTGGCCTTGCCGAATTTCAGTAAACAGTTCACCATTGAGACCGACGCTACCGATTATGGCGTTAGCGCAGTCCTGCAGCAAGACAGGCACCCATTGGCCTTCCCGAGCAAGCCACTGGGACAGCGCAACAAGGGGCTTTCCACGTATTAAAAGGAATTGTTGGCAATCTTGTTAGCTGTTGAACAATGGCGGCAATATCTGCAATCTGCTGAGTTCGTGATCAAGACCGCCTAGTGCAGCCTAGTTCACCTTGAGGACCAGCGTTTGCACAGCCCGTGGCAACAGAAAGCGTTCACTAAGCTCTTGGGACTGTGCTATCGAAAAGGGTCTCCCAATGGTGTGGCGGATGCCCTCTCCCGATGCCCAATCTGCGTCACTGATTAGCCGTATGCTATATCCCTCTGTTAGCCAAAATGGCTTGATGAAGTGCGCCAAGGCTACCTCTATGACCCAGCTACGCATAAAATCATTGATGACTTGCAGTTGACCCCCAATCACATCAACACTTTGAATATGCAGATGGTCTGTTGCACTATCAGGGCAGAGTTTGGATTGGCCACCTTTCCATGCAACATCAGCTGCTCCTCGCTGGGCATCAATCTGCCATCGGTGGTCATTCTAGGGCTCCAGCTACTTACCAGCTCTTGAAAGTTGTGTGTGTGTGGCCTCGCATGAAGCATGTGGTGACTAACTTTGTCCAATCCTACACCATGTGCCAGCAAGCCAAACCGAAAACGATGCAAATATCCAGGGCTGCTTGAAACTCTTCATGTACCAGTTCGTGCTTGGCAGATGCTATCAATGGATTTTATCAAAGGGTTGCCCCAATCCGAAAGATACAACTGCATATTAGTCGTTGTTGACAAGTTCTCCAAACACAGTCACTTTATTCCTCTGACTAATCCATTCTCGGCGTCTCAAGTATCTAGCACCTATATTGATCAAGTCTACTGACTACATGGCCTTCCTGACTCCATTCTCTCTGACCGGGACCCCATCTTCACGAGCTAGTTTTGGCAGGAACTCTTTCGACGATCTGGTACAACATTGAGGATGAGCACACCCTACCACCCAGCTACAGACAACCAGAAGGATTGCGTCAATCAGTGTTTCCAGACATTCTTACGCTACTTTGTCCACTCTTGCCCCAAGAAGTGGAGTTCATGGTTGGCATTGGCGGAGTATTGGTTCAATACCAGCTGGCACAACGCTCATGGCAAGTCCCCCTTCTTTGTACTCTATGACCATGATCCTCGGCATTGGGGAATCGAAGCAGTCGTCGACCTCAACACTTGGCTTTATGAACATGTGGAGATGATTGCTCTGATCCGTCAACACTTGCTACGAGCACAAATGCGTATGAAGCATCAGGCCGATAAAGGGCGATTTGAAAGAATTTTTGCAGTTGGCGATTCAGTCTACATCAAGCTTCAACCTTATGTGCAGAGTTCTGTCGCTCAGCGCACCTGCCATAAATTATCTTTCTGCTACTTAGGCCCCTTCCTCATCTAAGAACGCATTGGTCAAGTTGCTTACAGAGTGGCCTTGCCGGAGACCTCTCAAATTCATCAGGTGTTCTACGTGTCCCAGCTTTGCAAAGCTCTGGAGCCAGGTGTGTCCATTTCCCCAGTCTTACCACATGATTCTAACCAGTTTGTTGTTCCTGTTGAAGTTCTCGACAACCGTCAGAAGATCAAAGCAAACTGTGTGGTGGATCAAGTCTTGGTGCGTTGGTTAGGTGATGGCCTTGATCCCACCTAGGAGTACCGTGACGAGCTCCAATCGCGTTTCCCCTGTGCAGCGGCTTGGGGTCAAGCCGCAACTCAAGGAGGGGAGGGTGTTAGCACCCCTGGCTCTAGTGGGCCACCGTCACAGCTAGCTGCCGGGCCCGACAACTCCAGAGCCCAAGGCCCAATGAGAAGGAATCGAAGGCCCAACCATAGAGTGATGGGAGGGCAGTGGGTGAACGCGGTCCGAGCCTATAAGGAGGCGGCTAGTGAGATAGACGGGGCATCGAAGATCGATCAAAACGGCACGGCGGCAACGGCGGCTACCTAGGATACTAATTCCCCTCTCCTTATCTTAAATTCGGCACGGTTGTGCTTGTAAGGAGTGAATTGTTGTATCCTATCCACCATATAATCGTGAGACTAGCGCTGTTAACATGGAACACAGCGCTCCCAGATTTTTTGCCTGCCTTTGTACATGTGTGGTCACCCTACTATCATTTTTCACTTCCACCACGTCACATGCTAGATGCTAATGAGTTGATGCTAGGCACCAACTACTATGTACTGGTACTACTACGGCGTACCTACTAGCTAAACGTAACCCGGTTGGTATTGCGAAAATAAATAAATAAATTGTTGACATGTTGTTGCAATCTGGATGTCCTACAAGGCTTAGGCGGCGTTGTTGCAAAACACGACGCACCATGCTGCAAGGCTAGTCGCCGTTGTTGCAAGTCTCACTGTTGTTGCTGCAAGTTGGAACACGTGACAAGCAAACTGTAGCATGGGGCGTTGTGAGGGTTGACCACCATTGTAATGCGGTCTATTGCTGCTACAACATGGGCCGCACGACACTGCAAGGGTCGGCCGCCATTGCATGGGGTGACAAGGGTCAATCGCCATTGTTGCAAGTGGGATGCTAGATGTTGCAATGGTCGACTGCCATTGCAATGCGATATGTCATTGATACAACACAGGACGCGTGGCACTACAACAGTCAACCGCCATTGCAATGCGATATGTCATTGATACACCACGAGAGGCGTGGCGCTACAAGGGTCAACTGCCATTGCAATGCGATATGTCATTGATACAACATGAGAGGTGTGGCGCTACAAGGGTCAACTACCATTGTGGTCAGTCGCTGCTACACCGCAGGGACACAAGGCGCTGTGAGAGTTCAGCACCATTGCAATGCGGTCTATTGCCACTGCAACATGGGACATGTAACACTATAAGGGTCGAGTCGCATTGCAATGCGCTATGTCATTGCTACAGCACAGGACATGTGACTATACAAGGGTCAACCACCATTGGTGCAAGTAGGATGCTAGATGTTGCAAGGGTCAACCCCGTTGCAGCGGGCGAGAAAAACAATGCTACACCACTGCTGCAAAGGCTAGACACGGGACACTACAAGGGTCAACCGTTGTTGCTGAAAGCAGGATGCACAATGCGGCAATGGCCAGCACCACTGCTGCTACGGTTGACATCAAATATTTTCAGAAATTTGCAGAACCTTTATCATGGTTTTGAACATTTTCCTT